TATGTTCCGTCGTTGTCCAGAGTTCGTTCACAGTGGGGCAGGTCCACCACACGTGTAACATTGTGCCTCTGTGTGAATTGCAGCGCCAACATATGTCTGGTGTGTCAGGATACATGTTATGTAGTCGTGAGGGTACCATGTACCATCTATATAGCAATTTGCGTGACGTTTCAAAATGTGCCGCACATGAGGATAAACCTTCGTGTGTTGTGTATATTTTCTCCCATTCACTAGGGGAGAGCTGTTCTTGGAGGTCTTCCTGCCAGTCCTTCATGAATTTCCATGTGACTTCTGTTTTGGGGTTTTCTAGGCCGTCGTAGCAGATGGACAGCGTTTTTTTCGGAGGTGTCGCTGACATACATTGTCGTTCAAATTTCGTCGCTGAGGTCTTTAAAGTCTGGTTACTGTTGGTGATCGAATTATCTATCAGTAGAGCTTTTAATTGTAGGTACGAGAATGCGAAGTTCGGTGGGAGCGAATATTCGGTTTGAAGGTCTGGGAACTGTTTTAGGCCTTCAGCTGTGTAGAGGTGGAATAGGTGCGTGATGCCCTTTTTTTCCCATTTACGGTGTGGGAATGTGCCATTGCAGTGGTGTATTGTTTTGATCGGGGCGGTTAATTCCCACGGGTGAGCTGAGCATAGTTTTTTCCTGCAGGTGTCCCATGTGGATAGCAGGAGTTTGGTGGTGGGCAATAGGTCCTTGGAGTTTGGCCTTACGTGTTTGGGAGTCCACAGCGTGGATGAAAGGTCGTTGTTGATGCAGAGCTGGCTTTCCAACGCTACCCATTGTGGGGGCTGGTGTGTCGTGTGTGCATTGATTACATTTGAAAGTAGAGCTGCGTGGTAGTATGCTTTGAGGTTTGGGAATCCCATACCTCCTTGTTTTGTGTGTTTGAAGAGCAGGGCTTTAGGTACCCTGGGGCGTTTACCGCACCAGCAGAAGCGGAGGAGGGCTGCTTGCATCTTGTTCAAGTAGCTTTGTGGGATCTTGATTTGCAAGGACCGGAAGAGATACAGGCATTTAGGAAGTATCGTCATTTTGATAGCCGCTATCTTTCCGACCCATGATAGGAATAAATTCTTCCAACTATGTAATTGTCTTTCAATTTCTCGAAACAGTTTTACGTAATTTGCTGTGAAGAGGTCAGTGGTCTTGTTAGTTATCCTGATGCTTAAGAATGTTAGGAAATCTGCTCTCCAGTCATATTCGTGAGTTGCTTTAAGGGTATTTTCAGTATTCCTGGGTACATTGAAGCATATCGCTTGTGTCTTGGCGATGTTGAGTTTATAGTAGGATTGTTGACTGTATGTGTGTAGTTCTTTGTGTAAAGAAGGGAGGGAGATGAGTGGTTGGGTGAGTGTGAGTAGAATGTCGTCCGCGAATAGATTAAGTTTGTACTCCTGTTGGCCAATAGGAACCCCATGTATGCTATCATTTTTGCGGATGGCTATAGCTAGTGGCTCTAGGGCTAGGACGTATAGGAGGGGGGATAGTGGGCAGCCTTGACGGGTGCCATTGGTGATTGGGAAGGGTTGGGAGCAGAACCCCGAAGTTAGTACTGTCGCTGTGGGGTTGCTATAGAGGGCATGAATGACCGCCAAGAAGGGCGGAGGAAAGCCGTAAAAGGTCAGGGCTTCGTGTAGGAAATGCCAGTTTAGGCGATCAAACGCCTTTTCGGCATCTAACGAGAGCATGATGCTCTCCAAGTTGGTCCGTTTTAGGAGGTGATGTATGTCAAGGACCTTTCTGGTGTTGTCTGGACCCTGTCTGCCTGCCACAAAGCCTACCTGATCTGTGTGGATAAGGGAGGGTAATATTGTTTTCAGTCGATCAGCGTGAATTTTTGCGTACATTTTAGTGTCTGCATTAAGCAGCGAGATTGGTCGGAAATTTTGGCATACAGTTGGAGGCTTTCCTGGTTTGGGTATTGTGATTACGTGGGCTGACAGGAACTCAGTGGGGAAGGAGCTCTGGTTGGTCGCTGCATTAAAGAACTTGGTAAGTGGGGGGGCCAGTATGTGTTTAAATGTTTTGTAGTATGCATTGGTGTACCCGTCTGGTCCTGGTGCTTTAGCTCTGGGCATTCCCTCTATGTGGTGAAGAACTTCTTCTGTAGTGATTGGGGCACTGAGATGAGCTGCTTGGCGTGCGTTAATAGTGGGAAGTGCTAGGTTGGTGAGGTAGGACCGTATGGACGTTGGTGTGGGTCGGGGAGAGTTTAGGTCGTTTTTCAGGTTGTACAGAGAGCTATAGTAGTGGGCGAATTCGTTACAGATCTGAGCGGGCTGAATTATTTTTTGTCCGTTGGGCTTGCATAGGAATTGTATTCTCGTTTGGGCTTGTTTGTCTCTAAGTCTTTGTGCCAGTAGTTTCGTCGCTTTGTTACCCATCGAGTAGGATGTAGCTTTTAGTTTTTTCAGCGCTGTCGTTGCCTTGCGGAGATGAATGACATTGATTTCGTTTTGTGTGCTCTGTATTTGCTGTCGGAGTGACGTCGTGGGATTTGTTTGGTTCAGCCTATGTAGGTCCTGAACTTTCTTGAGGAGTGAGAGCAGTGTAGTGTGGTTGGTTCTTTTAAGATATGCCGCTCTGCCCATCAGGATACCACGGATGACTGCTTTGTGGGCTAGCCAGAGTGTGGCGGGGGACGTGTCAGAAGGACTGTTGCGCGTGAAGTATAGAGTTAGTTCGGTTTTTACTTTGTCCAGGAATGAGGGGTCGTTGAGAAGATGTTCGTTTAACCGCCATGGACTACGTTGTTTAAATTGGTATGAGTCTGCAAGGACTAGTGACACCGGGTTGTGGTCTGAGATCGAGGACGTTTCTATGTCACATGTTCTTATTTGGTGTAGGTGCGTGTTTCGTAGGAGGAACCCATCTATACGGGAGTAGGTATTGTGGACTTGGGAGTAATGGGTGTATTCCTTATCGTTCGGGTGTAGGGTTCTCCAGACATCGTATAGTCCATGTGCTGACAAAAGCTTATTTATAGAGTTGCAACATTTGTGTAGTGTCTTTTTGCGTTTTGTTGAGTGTCTAGCTGTGGAGTCTGCATTTGGGTCTAGTATGTGGTTATAGTCGCCGCATATGATCGTGGTACCTGTTTGGAGTTTGTCCACTTTTTCTAATCGGGAGGCCAAGTAAGTCGTCTGGTTGTCATTTGGGGAATAAGAGCTCACTAGTGTGTATGTTGAGTTGTTCAAGGTACATGTTAGAATGATATAACGGCCCTTCGGATCATATTCGACTGAAATTAGGTCAAAGGCTAGAGTATGACTTAGCAGTATCGACACACCTTTGCTCTTGTTAGGGGAGGTCGCATGATACTGGTGCGGGAAGTTTTTGAGTCCCAAAATGGGGTTGGAGTCATGTTTGAAGTGGGTCTCCTGTAGGCAGACAATGTCTGCACGTGAGTTAGTAAGTTCTTTGAGGAGGGTGTGCCGTTTGTTGGGTGAGTTCAGACCGCGTACGTTATGTGTGACTATTTTCATTGTCTGTGGCTAGTGTGGGTGACTGGTATTTGTGAGTCGTATGTTGCGCGTGTATGTCGTAGTGTTAGGAGGAGGGGGTGGGCTAAGCCTCGACGGAGCGAGGCGCCTGTCAGGGCGTCCGGTGTGGGTGCTCGTGTGGGTCAGTAACGGGCTTCCGTGGATTGGTCGGTGTTGTTTACCACTAGGTCTATGATAAACTTGGTTGAACACAATAAAATAAGACAATAAACAGTTATGCAATAAGCAAAGAAAGTATTGTACAAAAATAACTTGTAGGGGTATGTGCCGTAACTATGGCACTTCCTAAGTGGGGGGTGTTGTGGTCGGTTCGGGGCGAGCGGAGGTCGCTACGGGCCCAACTTGGGTCGGGTGCGCCTCGCCCAATTGTGCGGTTAATATGTGTCGGTTGGAGCGACCGGCACCGGTATGGGCAGTAAAGGGCCTGAGCTGGGGTAGTAGAGGCTGAGACCATAGAGGTCGGCAACCGATAGGGTGTATCACAAGTGAGTACAGAAGTGTTGTTTCGTAAGGCCCATTGCGCTTGACGCATTTAATGCCGCTCCCATCTCCAATGGGAGGGTCTCATAGGCATATCATAAGGGTGCTAGCAATCTGTGAACTATGCATTATCGTTACAGTATAATCTAGTCTATAACAGGTAAATAACAGTATAAACGTGGAAGGAACTTGCTGTTTCCCGATAGGCATGTTCAGTCTTCTCTTGGAGATGTGCGTCTCGTCTTCTGAGGCCGTCCGATTTCAAATGGCGGTCTGCTGGGGTTCTTGGGATTCGGCTGTGTATTCAGGGACATATCCCATTGTTGCAAGAGGTTCAGGCCTTCTGCTGGTGTGGATGCTGAGATGAGCTTCCCGCCTTTCGATATGAGCAGTTTTGCCGGGTATCCCCAGCGGTACGGCACATGGTGGTGCCTCAGTGTGTCTGCTACGGCTTTGAATGAGCGTCTGCGGCGTAGAGTCTCTGCTGAGAGGTCCATAAACATGAGGACATCTTTGAATTGAGTGGGTAAGTCCTTTTTGTTGCGGTGAGCTCGCAGTATTTGGTCTTTGATATGGAAGTAGTGGAGTCTCATGAGGACGTCCCTTGGAGTGGATGGTGCCAGGTGTTGTGGCTTAGGAAGCCTATGTATGCAGTCCAGCAGGAACATTTCTGCGGGAATGTCGGGAAGTAAAGCGTGGAAGAGCTCCACAGCGAAGGCTGTTAAGTTGTGTGGCGCAATTTCCTCAGGTACTCCCCTTAATCGAATATTATTGCGGCGTGATCTGTCTTCTGCGTCCGCTATTTTGGTCTCCTGGTTATGGAGCTGTTCCTCAATTTTGCTGAGGCGTGTATCAGATTCCTTTTGGGCTCCCATGAGGTCCCCTACAGTGTCCTCAAGATGAGAGGTCCGGGTTTCCAGTTCTTGGAAGCCTTTTCTTATATCACTGAGGGCTGCTGTGATTGTAGATTGCATTTTGGTAACTACTCCATCTAGCATGGATTGCAGGAGGCAATCGTCTGGTTTACTCACTGTGGGGTCATGCTCCGGTTCAAAGTCCGGGTCGGCGCCATCTTGGATTTGAGTGTCGGCAATTTTAGACTGCGGCGTGCGAGCCGCAAAGAAGGATGATTTATCTTTTGCCTCCGCGCTTTTTTTCCCCCGGTGCTGGGACATCGTGCCTGCGGTGTGGGACTGGGGAATCACCCGTTTTGGCTGCTTTGTGCCGCTTAGAAGAGCCCGAGTCAGCGGAGCTCACTTAGTGTGCGTCCATCGCACTCGATGTCCGGCCACGCCCCCAATATATAAACATTTTTAACCTATTCCAAGTACTTTTTTTTGGAATTCTTTATTTTCGTTATGCTCAAGGTTAAAACATTCGCCTGTGAGGTACCCCAAAGGCAATCCTCTAGCGCATGAAAACATTTAAACATATAAGTACATGGTAGACCAAGCACATTTTTGGTCATAAACATATGTAATTTAAGAGGCATACTATATAAGCAAGAGTAAAACAGTGAACTAAGATATTGGCAAGTTGGGATTGTATGGCAGGATGGGTACATGTTTTCATTGAGTGCTAGGCCAGAGTGTTTAGCCGCTTATTCTAAGGTTATTGTAGCTTTGGTAGCAGATTAGATGTAGCGGGGACCGTCATGATAGTGTGGTGATGTGAAACTAGCTAGGTGCCTGGTTAGGCAGCGGTATTCGCTTAATTATGTGCTCGTCTACGCTCTAGGCCGCAGTCAGTTAGGCCTGAGGCAAATCCTTCATGGTTCCATTTCTTTTCTAAAGATTGTAGACCGCTTGTCTCTATCTGTAAATCTCTAAGGTATATAAGGCTGAGGTCAGGTTAATTTTAGGCTCTAGTAGTAACGCGCGCGCTAAAGAAGTACTCATTCATAAGTAAAGCGTAAATCTAAACATCGGGCAGTAATTTGTAACTTTGCCCCTTTTAAGTGAATTGTTAACTAGCGTGTCGCGCTTAAATAAAATATCTATGAGCTGTTTGAGCAAGAATGGTTACTGACTGCTTTGCCTTAGGTTCCTATTAGTCGGTGGATGTCTATGCCTTTGTGTTATCTGGTGAGGCTAAGCAGTATGTCATTAAAAGCCGTATATGTTTAAAATCATGGTCACACTATGTCCCTTGCATGTTGAGTACAGACTGCTGCATCTGGATTAGAGGGACCGGTGCAGTAATAGTTTAGAGATGAAGTCTCTGGGAGAGGGTCTCTTGTGAATTGCAGGCTGTTGGTGTAGTGCACATTGTTTTTGCGTGGCTGGGGATAGGTAAGGGTGGCCTAGAGTGATATAGTCACTGTGCTGTGTCTCTGTGTTGGACCCTATAAAGTCCTTTGTGGTCCTGAGTGGAGTAAATCAGCATCCCACCGTTTTTTGGGGTCAATGTTAGCAGTCCATGTTACTATTGAGGGAAGTCGGTTGGTTGGTCGGGCAGGTAAGGGGCCCTGTGGGTGGTCACGGCTGATCTGTATTTATTACCATCACAGTGGCAGGCTTCGTGTAGCTCCTAAGAGGTGACTGCTGCATAGGAAATCGGCGTGGAGTCCCGGGGAATGAATGGTGCGGTCTTGCCCGGAGACCAGGTGTGGGTTGAAGGAGTGTTGTTGGTCGGCGTCACTTGGGTAGTGGATTCATGTGGCAGACCAAGAGTTTGCAGTATAGCCTGTGCTTCTTGTATGTCTTGGATGGTGTGTATGGTCATCCCTTGTTTCACCGTCAGTGCTCTGGAAGATCTCCAGCGGTAGTCGATGTTGTGGAGCTGGAGCACGGAGGTAAGTGGCTTGAGAGACTTGCGCCAGGCCAGGGTGGCTCCAGATAGGTCCGCGTAGAATGTCAGGTTCATGGTTTCGAAGTGGAGGGTTTTTTTTTCCCATAGGGTTGCGAGGATCTTAGCTTTTTCATGACGTTTGCGGAAAGTGATTATCACATCTCTTGTGGCTGTGGACGGAGCATTGGCATGTTTGGGGACACTGAAGATCTCATCTGGGGAAGGTGTTATGTTTTGTCTGTTTGTTAGAATTGCTAGCAGTAGGCGCCCCATGACTTTCGGAAGATCAGCCTCCGGTATTTCTTCAGGAATTCCCCTTATCTTGATATTGTTTTGCCACCTGGAGTCTTCCTGCACTGCCAGGTGACGTATGTGTTGCTGGTTCTGCTGTTGCAGCTCCTGCAGAGAGTATTGCAAAGCGTTTATGTCTTGGGCCTGGGCCTGCGAGGTTCCCTCAAGAGTGGAGATGCGGCCTGTCAGGCCTTGTATGTCCGTGCGGAGCGCTGTGACATCCTCGTGGATGTGTTTCTGCAGGTCTGCCAGCAATGTTTTAAGGACAGCTGTGGTGACTGGCTCTGAGTCCATTCAGGCTCCCCTTCCATTTGGAGGTGGGGGTCGTGTATAGTCTTCCTCCATATCGTCAGATTGCTCCTCTGAAAAATCTGAGCATCCGCCATGCAGTGCCGCCATGTTTGACTTGCTGGTGCCGCGGGCCTGTCTCCATATTTCTCCAATCGTAAGTCCTGAGGTTGGCTTGTGTGGGCTCACTTTTTTCCCCTTTTGCCCCATATGTGTTCTGGGTGGATTTCGTCGGTTCGGGTAAAGGAGGGAGGTTATTATTGTGGTTTTAATTTCGATTAGGGCACGGAGTCCCAAGCCCATTTTATCTTCATATATTGCTGAAACTGGGACTGCTAGCCTGAATTGGCACTGTGACGAAGTGCCCTTCGCCACTTGTGCCTGGAGGGGACTACTGGCTAGCCTCCTGCCTTCCGACTATGGCCCCTGTGCTAATAGCTGTATTTTCTCCTGCAGAAAGGTTTATTTGTGTATTTCTGCCAGGGCGTTCGGGACTTTCAGTGCTACCTCAGATATCTATGCCATGGAGCCTATTTGTGTAACAAAAGACTATGGAAAAGACTTTGGCTCCATGGCGATTGAACTTTGGCTCCATGGCGATTGAACTGTATGTAGGTGATCTGAGCGCCATTTGGTAATAATGTGCGCTCAGATTTAAACTACCTGGGGATATGTTGCATGTATATGTTTTATGTAGTAATTGTAACATTGTGTAATTTTATGTCTTTTTGCAACCATGTGGTTAATGGAGTCTTGCCTCTCTCCTGGGAGATAATTTGATTACTTCCCAATTATCTCCAGGATAGAGAGGTGGGAATGTGATGTCACTGTGGGAGTGTTTTGTTTGTATTTTCTGTGATTGGCTAATATCCAATATGTGTCCCATTGTTCCACCAGGTCCCCTAGAGGAGTGTCCACCTGGTGGACTCTTGCATGAATACCAGGCAGGTAGCCTTCAATAAACCAGACATACTTGCACCTTTCTTAAAGCCTTGGCTCATGCTTAGGGGAAGAGATACCTACACTCTGGGGATTGCTATAATAACTTACTCCCCAAAGTAAGCTCTTTAAGAGCTTGATATGTTCCTGCTACGCTCTCTGGATTTAGGAGAGGTTCACCCACTGGGAGCTGTATCCTGGTCATGGATCCAGGGTGAGTGAGAGATGGCGAGACCCCGGCGCAGCTGCATTGCTGGAAGTGGGGTCCACAGTGCTGATGGTGTCGGTTGGAGTGCTCGGAGTTCTCTGAAAGCGCTAGGAGCATCAATTGACGGAGGTACTCGGTCGGAGTGCCAGCGGTCCTTCACAGGCACCCCTGAGCCTGCTATACAGAGCCTGGTACGGCTCTGGGAAATGTGAGTGGAAGTCCTAAGCAACAGCATTATTTCTGTTTTTAAAAGGTTCACACAATGTTGTGTTTTATTTTATAGGTATTATCCTAATATATCTCTACTCATGGTAGTATTATTTTTGTATTATTTCACATATTTGGAGTTTGTATGTAGACTGGTATATTTTGCTTATTTTTAACCCCTTAAGGACGGAGCCAAATGTACACGTTGTGAACGAAACAAAATGTAAACAAAACCTGGCATTTGCGCTACATGTCTGTCCAACTGTAATTCACCTCTTTCATATTAAATGCACCCACCCTTATTGTATATCATTTTATTCAGGGGAAACAGGGCTTTCATTTAATATCAAATATTTAGCTATGAAACATAATTTAATATGAAAACAATGGGAGAAAATAAGATTTTTTTGATTTTTTTAGTTCTACGTGACATTTTAACAGTCAATGTCATAATACTGTTTGCTTTTACTGCAATAAAATACACATATTTGCATTCAGCAAAGTCTCACGTGTAAAACAGTACCCCCTATGTACAAGTGTTTTGGGAAGTTACAGGGTCAAATATAGCACGTTACATTTGAAATTGAAATTCGCCAGATTGGTTACGTTGCCTTTGGGACTTTATAGTAGCCCAGGAAAGAAATTTACACCCATAATGGCATATCATTTGCAATAGTAGACAACCCAAGGTATTGCAAATGGGGTATGTCCAGTCTTTTTTAGTAGCCATTTGCTGAACACAAATATTTGTGTTTGAAAACAGTAAAAAGTATTGCAGCAATAAAATCGTCCGTGTGCTGTTTGTGCGTGAAAAATGCAAACAATGTCACTTTTACTGGCGATATCATTGTTGTAATACATTTTACTGTTTTGAAACACTAATATTTGTGTTCAGCGAAGTCTCCCGAGTAGAACAGTACCCCCATGTACAGGTTTCATGGTGTCTTGGAAAGTTATAGGGTTAAATATAGTGCTAGCAAATTAAATTCCCTTTACTTTCGGCATGGGTTGTCAGGCAGGTCCCGCTAATTGTAATTAATTAAGATACCTAATTATGTAAATGTAATGTAATGGTATGACCTCCGGTCTTAAGGGGTTAAGTTAACTGGTAACATCAAAAAAATATCCTAGTAGTGGTGTAGCATAGTGTGGTATCTTGCGTCCCATCAACGAGTGGACCAGTCCTGGGTCCGCTTGGGAAACTTTGCCGGGCCTGGGGCTGATGATTCTGACAGTGGAATGCCCTAGTCCTTGAGCTGGCGCATGCCTTGTGCCGGGGTCGCTATGGAGTGGAGAGAGACCTGATGGTACACCAACAGCTTAGCCGGGTATCCCCATCTGTAGTGCAGTCCCTGTGCCCGTAAAGCTGCTGTAACCGGTGTTAATGACTTATGAAATTGCAGGGTCTCTGCTGAGAGGCCCGAAAAGATCTTAATGTAGCGGTTCCTGTCCGGCATTTCCGCGTTTCTGCTGGCATGAACAATACATTCTTTGGAGTGAAAGAAGTGTATTCTTGCTCTGACGTCCCGTGCGGAGGAGGTAGGCAGATGGCTAGGCCTTCTGATGCAATATGCCC